ATAATCTGTCCTTTTGAGTCCATAAATCCCACCCTGTGCTACAGCAGGAGCATGGCAGACAGCTGCCCTTCCAAAGAAAAGAAAAAAAGATTGTATTTTAACTCTGGTTTTAGTCATTTGAGAATCATTTGAGCTACTGCATTATTTCTGCACTTTACCGAGGACAATAATGGCCTATTCTAGCCAAAATGTATCTCCCTTTGCTGTAGATTAGTTGTTGTATTGTAGGCTCGCAGAGGAAGATGGCTGAATCAGTTGACAGCGGCTCAGAAAAGAACATTTGAACTTACACCTTTCTGGGAGATGGCACAACTGCGATTAAATAACTTGGGAGGGTTCGAAGAAAATCTGTTACTTGAGTTTTGCTTCATCGTGTTCCCCGGAACTGAACGTTACCATTTTCCTTATCTGGCCCAGCAAACCAAAGAATGCAGCACTATGATTTGCATTTAAGAAATATTAATGTCAGAAAGCATTCGATCCCAAACTACAAAGCATTTGTTCACACACCATAAAGTAAGGAGGAGAGACTTAACTGACCCGGGTATTTAACAAGCAGCTTCCAGAGTTTTTCTATTACTACAACAAACTCATTCTTGGGTCTCAGCACATACGTATTCCACACGTATAAAGCAGCTATTGCCTGCAAAAGATATATTGGGCAGTAAAGGGTAAACTTTCCCTGTTCAGTGTTAAGAGCATTACCTTAATCTTTTATCTAGGCCTGCTTTTCAGTGGCATTTGATACAGGAGCTATACGAAACACTTCTTGAATACACAAAGCCAGAGATTGAGTTACACATGATTGAAGATCTATGCTGCTAGTAAGACAAAAGCTCCTATATTACCTGGCACACGCCTGCTGAATTATTGAAGTGTCTCTTCAAGCTGAATATATTCACTGGATAATTAGTCAACAGAAGAAAATGGTCTCTCTTTACAAAGCTAATGTTGACGGGTACTGTATCTTTCATGCACTGTAACAAAAAGCATTTGCAGAACTGGTGCAACACAAACATTTGGAATTGCTCTGTCCATGCCCGCGTGTTCCCGAGGCACACGCCCCCTCCAAGCTCACACTACCTTACAAGCAAGCTCTAACCAGCGTGAATTTCCTCTACCTCGTGTAGCACTGTCCCCGTTTCAGAAGCAGGTAAATGGTACAAGTAAGTGGAGGCTTGCTTTGCATTTGAGGAATGAGTCCGATCAAACTGAAATAGATACCTGCAAGCCTGCCTCCAGCCCTGCGCCGTGGTAGCCTCTTGCTGCTGCCTCAGGCAGGACCCACCCCGGGCAGTGCCGACAGATCACTGCCACTTTGAATTCATAATGCTTGTAGCTGTGATATCCCAGCGTGCCACTCCAGCGGCTGCATTCTCATGAGCTTGTTTCCTGCTGCACATTCTTGGGAACACGGGCTACTCCATGTGTACACAGGACACACCACGGAATGGACGTACTAGCGTCTGCCTGCTGAAGCCATCACTGCCAGCTGATGTTGCTTCGTTTATTCTGCCCTGGCAAGGGAGGGACAGTACCAGTTTCCACGCTTCCATTTCAGTGGCTGTCCTATGCCCAAGAGCAGTAGGATGGTCTCTGTACTGCCTGTATACAAACCTAAGCTTACCTGGAAATAAGATGGCTTTCAGGCGCTTGAACATGAGCTGTAGGCTGAAATACACGGTTCTATGAACTCCACCTCACAGCCTGAGGTGTGCAAAGGCAACATTCTGCCAATGCAGGTATTACTAGGTTTTTTTCTTTTAAATGCCTGTCACCCAACACTAAAGGGACAGACAGGTTCTTTTAGGGATCCTTGGCAGAATGACGATGGCACTAAACTGTAGTTACAGTTGAAGCTTTATTTTCCTAACAGGGTATTATGATTAGTATAGCACAGAATTTACAATTAAAATGGCACAGGATTTCTACAAGCGAAATCAACTTAGTACAATCTACAAATAGTGTAATACAGAATTTATAATACAACTTAACTTACCATTTCTGATCACCTGACCCCACTGCAGATCGGGTCAGATGTTAATACATGGTTTGCTGTATCAATATACAGTCATGAACTAGACATGAAAATCATATAAAAGAATACGAGTCAGCCAGTCAATCCTTGAAGGAAGCAGATGAGGATGGATGCATCCCTGGCCACCAGGAGGTCATGGGTCTCAATGTCCAGCAGCAGTTTGGGTCCAAGTTCCCCACTTAGGGCTTCTAAGTGCTTGATTTCACAGACAGTGCTGTTAGGCTTTCCTGTTGTGTGCCGGGGCCATCAACCCCACCTGGCTGGCTGGGTGCCTGGGACCTCCACAGCGGGCAAGGAAGGGAGCAGTCGGCCTTGCACCCAGGAATCCTGAGGCTCGCAGGGACGGGAAGAAGAAATCTGCTTGGTTTGCCTTCTTGGGTCACAGGACCTTCAGGGCCCGATAATGAGGGAAAGGGGACGAATACATGACCTGCTTGGTCACACAGGGTGGCTGTTTGCCTTATAAAATGGCATTAGTTACGCTAACCACACCACCAGGGCTTGGGAGCAGGGGCTACGGGTCTCTCATGCCCCAGGGACAAAATACCTACATGGGGTAAATAAGGAATTTAGAAACATATTCAAATATTATAATTCAAGACTATTTCTCCCTTTTATTACCTGGTATATTTCCCAGCTTTGAAAATGAAAATAAAAACGGCATCGCATTCAATTTTTTTGGAAAAAAAGTGCCCCTGTTTTTAAGTAGCTTATCACTGAGCTTACCTGTTTGGTTTTTAGTGAAGCATTTTTATTGGCTTTTTTTTTCTTCTTTCAAGAAACCCAGTTTAGAAAAAAAATCCTAGAGTTGCTTACCAATTTTAAACCTAGAGTCTTCTCCAACTGCAGTATGAAAACTAGTCTAAGTTATTAAGATTTGTCTTAGAAAGGGAAGTTAACTAAAAGGCTAGCAGCCAATAGTCGTATGCTAACTCACTCAGCTCCACCCTCACCTAAATCTAAACTTAAAATGTCTGGTCCCCAAATATCCTACAAGCACCTTTAATACTACCAAGGTCCCCAAAACTCAGGCAGCGACACAGATGTCTCTCTGAGCAGCTAAAGGAGCATCTCATAGTTTGTTTTAGAAAGGTCTTGGTTTACGTTTACAGATATATGTCACGTATGCTCCTACAGAACTCAAATTATTTCCATCTTGTATGTCTCTTCATCGATCCTCTGGGTATTCTGGGACAGCTTCGTATTACAAATAACTGTATCTTGTATTATAACACACGTGCAGCAGCTCTGCATGGCACTGCTCTAAGTTCTTCATCAAGAACTTCAGTGGAGCCAAGCCTGGACCAGTCCAAGCTGCAAGGAAAGCTTTCATAAAGAAGCCATCAATGCTGCCATCTCCTGGCGTAACAGGAGATTTACAGCGACAGCTCTAAATTGCACATTTAGAGCATTTTGCAACTGCTAGTGTAGAACATTTTATTAGGGAATTGTTTTTATTCTGAACTTGTTCCATTCATTGTTTTGTGTTGCAGCACCAGGTGATGATTCTCACCTGGCTGGTAAGCTGAACAACCTAGGGGAAGTGTTATGCATGGTGAATCTCCATCAAAAACTTCTGGAAAAGGGTAAATTAGTCTTACCCCAGACTGCAAATGACACTTCGCTAAGCAAATCTGGAGATGTAAGAACATAACAGCATAACCCTTAACATTTAATTTTGCCCTGGTTCATCTTTACAAACAGCAACAGCAGAAAAGCAAACAAGAAATAAGTGGCTTCTATCATTTTTAGGGCCAGAGAGCATAAACCTTTTGAGACTGATTTGAAACAACTCCTTACAGAGGACAGTTGCCCAAACACCTCATCTGCAAACAGCACTTAGTCACTATTAAATTGAACCAGGCCTAAGCAATAGTTTTATTGACATTTCCCGCATACACCCAGCCCCACCTCTATCCCAAATCCATACTCCTCTGGAGAATGACTCAAACCTGTTCTCCTAGCCTAGGAGGTAGGCTGCAGTACTCACTGATTCAGCTATTGCGTTTCATCTGACAGATGGTAAATGAAGATATTCTGCCTGACTGCTTGCCATTGTGCAAACATGTCTTGCTTTCGTTTGTGAAAGGCTTTAGCAAACTTTTTGTCAATTGCTTTGTTTTCTGAAATACACGTTATTAAACCAACATGCAAGACCACTGACATGCGGGACTAGCAGGAGGAAGGTTAAGATAGCTTATCTGAAAATGTTTATAAAATGTCCCTGTTTTGGGAGACTGAACTGAGTTGCTTTTTATGCCAAAGATTATTTTTCAGCAATAAAACACAAACATTGACAGCAAAGTTTCACAAAATTAATGAAAATGAGTTATTTCATAAATCTAGCATTCCTATGGTTAGCTTTGTGTACACACGTCAGAATCTTACATTCTTCACTCAGGTTTTTTGGAGGGGGCTCTGCCCAAGAACAGCGAGTTAATACACTTCCAGAATGTACTTCCACTTCTTTGTGTGCGAGTAAGCTCTCACTACTTGTTTGATGCTTGAAGGGATACAGCTGTGTGTACTTTACAAGAGAACCTCACAAAAATTCCAGGGAGGAGTAAATTGCCAATGCATTCTCTTAACTTGGGTAATGGAAAACATAAATGAGTTCAAAGTTTGACTCTGTCCTCCCGGTTGAATATATCTAATGTGCACAGCAACATAATGGAAAATATGCCCTTCTAAAATTAGTCTGAACAATAATGTGATGACTAAATAATTCTGAAACCTCGCTGACAGATAAAAAGAAATCAATTCCAATAGGAGATAAGGACTCAACATATTAATACAGAACTGTACTACCAAACAAGAGACTTACCAGTGCTGGCTTCATAATGAAAATACATTTTGGCTGAACTTAGTATCTACTTAACTAGGTGCAACTCCATGGGATCCAGTAGAAACGTACCTGCT